GCTCCTGTGTAGCGGAGCACAGAGAGGGAGAGAGACGAAGTAAACAAACAAGCAGGAAAATGAAACTTATCGACCTCAAAAAAAGTTATCGTGCAATTAATTGATTTATTGTCTATCGCGACGGGCCTACCCCCGAAGCAATTTAGTTGAATAGCCCTGCTCTAGTTAGACCATCAATAATCCAGTTAGACTTTCAATAAACCAGTTGGACCATCAATAAACCAGTCAGACCATGAATAACCCAGTTAGACTATCAATAACCCAGTTAGACTATTAATAAACCAGTTGGACAATCCATCCATAATCCAGTCAGAGCGTCTATTTACCAGTTAGACCATCAATAAACGAGTCAGACCATCATAAACATATTAGACCAATTGCTAAAGGAAACCAGATGACTGAGGGATGAAAGGTTAATTGTTTAATCAAGCTTCTTCCATCATTGAAATCTTCCTGTCCTCCTTTGAAATACAATAGTTCATCTTAACAGAACCTTCATGGTTAAACAAAATTATAAATTAAATACTTTCACACACTCAAATGAGTCAATCAAGAAACCAGTTAGACTTGGACTTCTGTCAGAGATTTACAAACAAAAACATCACTGACCTTCCTGAGTGAGTTCCTATGGCAACCACAGCTCCGCTGGGATGAAAGTCTGCACAGTGCCCAGAATCATGTTCCTGAGAGAGAAACACAGCTGTCAACCAATCAGTCATCAATTACTGATCACATGTCAGTCATTAACTTACAATCTCATCCAGAGGCCGGCTCCACTGCAGACTGTGGTCCAAGGAGTTCCAGAGACAAACCAGTCCGTCCTGAGCGCAGGTCAGAAACAGCTGTTTGGATGGATGAGTGGCCAGACCCCACAACTCATCAGTGTGTCCCTGAACACATTACAGAGATACAGACCCTGAAAACATCACAGAGGTACAGACCCTGAACACATCATAGAGGTGCAGACCCTGAACACATCACAGAGATACAGACCCTGAACACATCACAGACATACAGACCCTGAACACATCACAGAGATAAAGACCCTCAACACATCACAGAGGTACAGACCCTTAACACATCACTGACATACAAAGCCTCAACACATCACATCGTTACAGCAACCATGAAAGCTTCTGAGATACAGACCCTCAACACATCACTGAAATAGAGATCCTGAACACATCACAGAGGTACAGACTAAGGATGGGCGATATACCAAAGACATTCACCATGGTAATATTTGGCAATCTCGCGATAAAAATGATAAATTCCCACCGTGTGCTGCCAGGCTTTTGTGTTCCAGTGGGTGGTGGGAGCAATATTTGCGTTTCGACTCCCACCACCCACTGGAACACAAGTTAGGAGTGATCAGGACTCTGTACCACAGAGCAGACAGTGTCCCTACAAACCCAGGAGC